TGGAGGGGGGCCGGATAACCAGAATAGTCCTTAATATTCCAAATGTTGGCAGCAGCATCAATTTATGTAAGAGGCATGATGGTGCTGACTATTCGTTGTCACCCTGTGAGGAGCAGTAAATGGTCAATTTCTGTTTTCTTATATCAGAAGGTGAAATTTATAACTTTGATACCAGGAGACGAGGAAAGACCTCTCCCCGCTCTTTCCAGATATTTTCTTCCCTCTAGCATAAAAGGCCTTTTGTGGTCTCCTGGGCCTTACCATTTTTTTTCTTATCACAAACCCTTCACTGTCTTTGTGTTTCATGGGAGAGAGGCCCGTCACTCTTCCCCATGTATGGAGAAGAACTTTTTTACTTTAGAATAGTCGCCTCCATATGTAGGGGCCCTGATGAAGGAAGTAATCTTAAGAATGTATCAGAAGAACCCTTCTGGATCAGGCCCATCTATTTCAGTGTCCTGTTTTCACACAGCGGCCAACCAGTCGCCCTAGAGGGCCAACAGATAGGGCATAGAGCCTTCCCCTGATGCTGTCTTCTAGCATTGGTATTTAGAGGTAATTGCCTCTGAATGTGGAGGTTCCCTTTACGCATCATAGCTAGTAGCCATTGATGGACCTTAGAAGGTCATCTAGGAGCAGAAAGTGCTGTGACCACCAGACCGGGCCATAAAGACCTGGCTGATAGCAACTGTCCCAGATCAGCCGGCACAGCACCCTTACAGAAATCCCTGCTGTCCATTTGCTCTGGTCTGCACATGAAAGGCATCACTCTAATCTATGAATAACGCTTAACTGTATAGCATTCTTCCTTTTTACTCCTTCTAGGTCCTTCATATGGTCCGCAATGCCAAGCTCGTGGGCCAGTCTATCATTGCCTATCTCCAGAAGAAGGGCTACCCGGAAGTTGCGCTGCATTTTGTGAAGGACGAGAAGACTCGCTTCAGCTTGGCTCTGGAATGTGGCAACATAGAGGTGAGATGCTGAGCTCTGCGATGGGCCTTCTCTCAAGGACTTGGGAGCTAGGAAGACTTTGCTTCCGTGGTTCCTGTGCCACGCCTCTGTAACTAGCAGACTGTGCAGATAGATGCCCAGTTTTTACCATTTTCCAGTTTTAAAGAAACAAGACAACTTAATCAAGTCTTCTCTGTAGAGTTGTCAAATAAGTACAGAATACAAGGGGGTGGATCCGTTCCACTAATGGAGACAGCTTCCCCGACAGAAGAGCCGCCTCTTGCATCAGGAGGAAGTCTCCTTGCACCAGGGGAAGGTGCCATAGCTAGCCAAGTGTAAATGCAGAATGCCAGGGAGGTGTAATCTGAAGTACTGGGAGGTTGTCCAGCATACGTAGGACGATTGGGCAATAATTTATTTATTTAGTCATTCGTTCATTTTGTTAGATTTGTATCCCACCCTCCCCGCATAGCAGGCTCAGGTCGGTTTCCATCAAACACAACAGACAAACAATTAAAACCAATTGAAATACATCCGATAAAATACATCAGAATTCCTGTATGCTAATCAGTGCCTCAACAGAGGAGGTGGTTTATTTCAGATTGGGGTTCCCAGATAGTAATACAGATCTGACCCGCTAAGGGGAAGGACACGCCTGCCGCCTCAACTAAAAGCCTGGCGGAAGAGCTCCGTCTTGCAGGCCATGCAGAACTGTAAAAGGTCCCCTCAGGGCCCTGATCTCATATGGGAGCTCATTCTACCAGGTAGGGCCCAGGACCGGAAAAGCCTAATTGAGGCAAGACAGGCATCCCTGGGGTCAGGGACCACCAGGAGATGTTGATTAGCAGGTCATAAAGCCCTTCGGGGCTCATAAGCAGGGCTATTTTTGGGCAGGAACGCACAGGAACGGAGTTCCGGCTGGCTCCTGAGTTGGCCACGCCCAGCAGGAACTCATTAGCATAATAGGCCACACCCAACAGCAGAAACTCATTAGGATTGGCTACATTAGGGGTGTGTGGCCTAACATGCAAAGGAGTCCCTGCTACAAAAAAAGGCCCTGGGTTTTGACAACAAACAAGGTAAACAGAATAAGAAGCAAAATGCTAATGAGTTCATGCTGTTGGGTGGGGCCTGTTATGCTAATGAGTTCCTGCTGGGCTTTTTCTACAAAAAGAGCCCTGCATAAGAACTTGCCTTGAATGATCAGGGACTTGTCTGTCTTGGCTGGGCCACATCTCATCGGCAGAGTACATTTTTTTTGCATACAGAAGATCCCAAGTTCAGTCCCCACCACTTTCAGCTAAAAGGACCCTGGTCAGGGCTCTGCGAAGACCCCTTTCGCAATGACAGGAGGCAGTTCTAGGCTTGATGGACCAACCGTCTAAGTCATCAGAAGGCCACTTTTTCCCCCATTAGCATAATAGGCCACACCCAACAGCAGAAACTCATTAGGATTGGCTACATTAGGGGTGTGTGGCCTAACATGCAAAGGAGTTCCTGCCACCAAAAAAGCCCTGGGTTTGGACAACAAACAAGGTAAACAGAATAAGAAGCAAAAGGTGGGCGTGGCTGGATGCCCACACTTCTGGTGGCATGGGGGTGTGGCCTTATATGCTAATAGGCGGTGCTGTCAGGGGTGTGGCCTACTATGCTAATGAGTTTCTGCTGTTGGGTGTGGCCTGTTATGCTAATGAGTTCCTGCTGGGCTTTTTCTTCAAAAAAAGCCCTGCTCATAAGAACTTGCCTTGAATGATCAGGGACTCGTCTGTCTTGGCTGGGCCATATCTCATCAGCAGAGTACATGTTTTTTTTGCATACAGAAGATCCCAAGTTCAGTCCCCACCACTTTCAGCTAAAAGGACCCTGGACATCAGGGCTCTGCGAAGACCCCTTTCCCAGTGACAGGAGGCAGTTCTGGGCTTGATGGACCAACCGTCTCAGTCATCAGAAGGCCACTTTTTCCAGCCTGTTCTCTTCGTCCTGTTAGATCGCACTGGAGGCAGCCAAAGCCCTGGATGATAAGAACTGCTGGGAGAAGCTGGGAGAAGTCGCCTTGCTGCAGGGCAACCACCAGATTGTGGAGATGTGCTACCAGCGCACCAAGAACTTCGACAAGCTCTCCTTCCTGTACCTGATCACAGGCAACCTGGAGAAGCTCCGCAAGATGATGAAGATAGGTGGGTCTCCACGACAGGTGGCTTTGCCATCCTCCACAAAGCTGCCGTCATGCAGCAGAAATCTTAGAATGCACAAGTGACACACGAATCGCACATCCCGGTGCTTGGGACAGACTTTTGCAAAGGAACTGAGATTGTTAGGGCACCTTCCTGCCAACTGGAGAGCTTCTATTTGGTGCACGTGCTTTCCGCAATAACCATGGTAGATAGTTTCAGAGGATAGCTGCGTTGGTCTGCAGTTTCGAGTCCTTAAATCCCAACAAGATTTTCAGGGCCGCGTGCATTCAAGAGTCAACGCTCCCTTTGTCGGCATCTCTGGGAGGGAGCTTTGACTCTCGGGAGTTGATACCCTGGAAGTCTCGTTGGTCTTTGAATTGCTGCTGGACTGAAATCTGGCTCCCGTGTTAGACAGCAAAGTTTGAAAGCAGAGATGAAACTCCATTTTGGAATGTTGAAAGTATTTCACGCTGCATGTGGTGAGAGACTGTAGTGCAAGCCCGGTTGGAAGTGAGATGGGTTGTATATCTCTGTGAGCTGGCTGCCCTTTTGCGCACTTGAATCCAGTGGAGGTGTGACTCATGCTCAAAGCAACTCGTGCTTTTGAAAATGGCTTGCTAATGTGATAGTTACATGCATATACATATACATAGACCTTTATTGGCATAACACAGGAACAATAAGGAAGGCAATGGAACAAATAAATTAATAGAACGAATTAATAGATCATAACAAGTTGCATCAAGTTACACCAACAGGGGATCATTTTTCAACTTCCCAAGAATAGTGAACTCAGTTAAAAAAATATAACAATCCAAATGAGCACAAGGGGGTTTAAGACTTATGCGCCCTTACCCTTAGCTTCCAAACATAAGCTAAGAATTCAGCAACAGGCAGGGTAATTGCCGAGAACTTATCAGACAATAGAATTTTAAGATCATTGTCAGTCGAATTCCTTGTGGAAGGTAAGTGGGGACTGATCAAATAGCTGCGCATGGTAGAGTATTGGGGACAGCGTAGAAGGATATGAGCAACTGAATCAGGTTCACTATAGAGACAATTGCAGGTTCTATCCCTATAGGGGATGCCCCTATAGTGATAGTTTAAGAAGACGCCTCTGGCCTGGATAGCCCAGGCTAGACCGATCTCATCCGATCTCGGAAGCTAAGCAGGGTGAGCCCTGGTTCGTCCTGGGACGGGAGGCCACCCAGGAGGTCCAGGGTTGCTACGCAGAGGCAGGCGATGGCAAAACCACCTCTGAATGTCTCCTGCCCTGAAAGCCCTACAGGGTCACCATAAGTCAGCTACAACTTGACAGCCTTCCCTCCCCAAAAAACATAAGGTGGGATTTAGATATTTTAATTCAGGGAGGGGTGGCAGCTCCTAAGAAGAATGTCGATGTGGAGGGTGACTATCCTTATCCTCCCTCGCAGCTGAGATCCGGAAGGACATGAGCGGCCATTACCAGAATGCCCTGTACCTTGGGGATGTAGCAGAGAGGGTGAGGATCCTGAAGAACTGCGGGCAGAGTGAGTAACAGGCCATCTCAAGGACCAGTTTCCCAGCAAGTATACCCTTTCCCAGTCTGGTTCTCAGATTTCCTTCAGTTCTTCCCATCCGGCGGAAGAATGCAACAGCCCCATCTGCAAGCGGCTTGTCCTGCTGGTGAGGCAGCGCTGCCGCAGAGAGCCTTTGTCATCCTGACCTAACTTTGCTTTTCTTCTCTCTCTCTCTTTTGCTTCTCTTAGAATCCTTGGCCTATCTCACGGCCGCAACCCACGGCTTGGATGACGAAGCCGAGAGCCTGAAAGAGACCTTTGACCCAGAAAAGGAAACGGTTAGTGAAGAGCTGCAGGCACACCAGTTCTGGTTGACAGTCCTTTTTTTCCTTGTTACTCCTTTTCAGAAAGGCTAACCACCTACCGGGGGCTAGTTTTAGGGCTGGCATGCTCCATCATCAGTGGCCTGGTAGAGGTCCCATTATACAAGAGGTGCTGCGGCAGTCTAGTGCCTGGGGGCAGCGGCAAAAATACACAGCACAGGAGAATGGCGTGCTCTGTTTTTTCTCTCTCTCTCTCTCTCTCCTTCCCCATTCAAGAAATGGGAGATCATTCCAGAAGCCCATGCAACATCACAGGGAGACCTCTAGGGGGCAGTCTCCTAGGGAAGAAGCAATAAAGCTCCAGTTTGTCCACACGTCTCTTCAAACTTCCAGCACCAGTGTGTGACAGAATCACACTGGTGGAGCATTGCGAACTGTGAGGGCCATGATACAAGCGAAAGTCAAAGGAGTGGCGTGAGAATTGTGCCCCGTTCTCCAGTATAGGTGCCCTCGCTGTCAAGAGGACAGAGGAGGAAGGCAAGGGATGCCCTGTGCCCAGAAATGTGGGATTCACTGCCAGAGGACGTAGTGATGGCCGCAGGCAGCTTTGAAGGAGGATTAGATAGATTCACGGAGGATCGGTCTATCAGTGCCTACTAGCCGTGCTGACTAAAGGGACCCTCCATGTCAGCCTGTCTGTCCCACTGCCAGGAGGCAATGCCAGGGGTAAGCCTTGGCCTCTCTGCCCTGTTGCTGAACCTCCAGAGGAACTGGCTGGCCACTGTGTGAGACGAGAGGCTGGACTAGTAGAAGGACCACTGGTCTGATCCAGCAGGGCTCTTCTGAAGTTATCCCACCCTGCTTATATGAGGGACTTTGTTCCGACCTGTGTAACACCCAGAGAAGTGCTTGAAGGATTTTCCTTTCCTCGTTCCCAGATTCCAGACATCGACCCCGATGCCAAGTTGCTGCAGCCGCCAGCTCCCATCATGCCTCTGGACACCAACTGGCCCCTGCTCACTGTCTCCAAGGGTTTCTTTGAAGGAACAATTGCTAGCAAAGGTAAGGAAGCACCAGTCGCCATGACTGAGTCTCTTCCTCCTTGGGGCATGAGGAAAGGAGGCAAGGGCTCAGCAGGGTCTAGTGATGATCACCCAGAATAGCTGCTTGCTGCAGGAATGGGCTGGTGGGAGGGCACTGTTGGAATGAAACTGGGAGGAGGAGGAGGTGGCGAGGGCATTAGCAAAGGGCCTTCAATTCAAGCCCAGATAGAATCCACCCTTTATATTGCTGGCCCATTGACTGTCTCTGATACACAGAGGTGTTCCCCATAGAGTTAGGCAGAGGCTTTCCTCAGCTGTTTTATACAAGATTCCTGCTAGGCATCAAACCTGTGCCTTTGGCGTGCAAAGCCTATGTTCTACTGCTGGTCTGCAGTGCTGCTCCCACAATACCACAAAGCATCTTAAGACTATTGGCCATCTAATCCAACACTATCAGGCCTTTCGGGGGGTCTCAGTATGAGGTCTTTCCTAGCCCCCCTTTCTATAGTCTAACTGGGGATGCTAAGGTGTTTTGCCCACCAAGCATATACTTCACCCTCTTGCTTTGTCTTCTCCCATGTGGGGCTCTAAAGGGACCAGAACCCATTCCCATTGATGGATACCACACAGTCACCAGCTGCTGGAGAATCCCAGAAACAGGGAGTTGATGGATACCACACAGTCACCAGCTGCTGCTTAGAATCCCAGAAAACAGGGAGCTTAAATGCTTCCCAGAAATATCAAGATGGGTAGCCGTGTTTGTCTATAGCAGAAGAAAAGAGCAAGAATCCAGTAGCACCTTAAAGACCAACAAAATTCGTGGCAGGGGATGAGTCACTGCTCACCTCTTCAGATACCCAGAAAAACAGTGGACTTCTCCATCCCCACAGGTAAAGGAGGTGCATTGGCAGCCGATATTGATATTGACACCGTGGGCACTGAAGGCTGGGGAGAAGATGCTGAGCTGCAGCTGGACGAAGGTGAGAGAGCCCAGCAGCCATTCAGTGTATCCGCAGGCTCCATACCAGAGCTTGGACTCCTTGATGCAGTAAATAGATCTATGCTGGGATTCAGTTTTCCGCACCAGGAATGGAAAGCTTGTCACAAAGCAGAGTGCATGTGCAGAGTGCATTTTTCTCCACTCTAAGCAGCTCCACATACACAGCTAGGGTCTGGAAGGCAGGTTTTCTGTTCCAGAGGGCATGGGTTTTAGGCATGTTTGAACACCCACCCACCCACCCCAATTCAAAAATTGTAAGCGCTGCAGACCCCTATGAGAGGGGGGGAAATACAAGGCGGGATAGAAATCGAAATAAATAAATAAATTTGTAGTGCTTCTTCAGGCTTGCATATTCTGGTACAAGCTGAAAATTAAATTGGATACCTGCATTCCATTGTAACAGTGGAAGGGCGCAGATAGATGCAGGTATGATGGCACGGAATGTTCATAAACATTCAAAGAGCCCTGGATTTTTATTGTTTATTTATTTTAAAATATTTTTGTGCTGCCTTTCTACCCAATCAGGATCCCCCAAGGCAGTAAACAAGGGAACATTAAAACATTTCAGCAATTAAAAACCTTAAAAATGATAAAATAAATCAATAAATACTCAAACCAATAATAATTGTTGGGGGTATGCGAAAAAAAAGTCTTCACCCGCTGGTGGAGGACATTGATTTAGGGAGATGGACGAATCTCCATGGGGAGGGAGGGCCAAAGATTTGAGGAATCTTTTCCTTGGGTTGCCACCCGTTGAACCTCAGATGGCGGGGCAACTGAAGCAGTTGAAATGTTTGCAGTCTAACTTCTGTGCAAGATGGGGGAGGGGGGAAGTTTTTTAAAAACTTGGCTTTGGAGAAGTTGCTTTCATTCTATATTTAATTGTGGTAACTAATCTGAATCTTGGTGTATGTTCAAAGAAGGTACTCTTATAAGGGCTTTAAAAAAAAAACTGATTTGAACTGGTTCTCTCTTTGTTCTCCGGCAGTGGAGAGCCACCAGTTCTGTTTGCAGGCAGGCCTGCTCCCCAGCCTGTTGCCCCCATTCTGAACTGTGGTCTCTCATTTTCCAGATGGCTTTGTGGATGCCGGGGAAGGCTTTGGAGACGAAGCCATGGCTAAAGGCCAAGAAGAAGGTGGCGGATGGGAAGTTGAAGAGGACCTGGATCTCCCACCTGAGCTGGTAATCTTGTTGGAATCCCTAATGAACACATGGGATTCCCTACCGCGAGATGTGCAGGTGGCCAGTGGCTCTTTAAAGGACACAACTTCACCTTAGGCTGTGACCAGCCCTGGTCACTTACTCCAACAAGCACAAGTCTCTGCCCTGCCTCCCTAGATCCTGGCGACTGCAGATGCCCAGGGCTGAGGCTTGGGTGCTGTTGAGGAGATCCACGCACGGGATGACTTTGTGTGTGAAAGCATGGCTTTCCTGCCTCTCCTGCCTCCCCTCCCCCATGGCAACCCGAAATGCTTCTCCTGGGGGGTGGAGGACTTCCAGGAACAGCGTAAATTGGAGGGCAGGATTGGCAAAAGCCACTCCTCCACTCACATGCACAGATATGGTCCAAGCCTAGATCTGATATCCTTCACAGGCAAAGCATAAGCGCTACCACTGAGTAAAGGACTCTCAATAACATGCAGGGCTGCCCCCAAGTCAGACTGCTGGTCTCTCGAGGGCTGTATTATCCGTTAGGACCATCAGGAGCTCTTGAGCTCAGGCAGGGGAGAGAGCCCCTCTCAGTCCCACCACTCTTGTTCCCAGCATCAGAGGTAGCCATCGTGGCTTGCTTGTCCTAAGCTTATCCTTGAGGTAGGAAATAAGGCACAAGGCCAGTCCAACAGTTCTGACCCGCTAGAATTTGTCCTGCTCCCCTCCTCTTGCCTAATAGGTGCCTTCTTTGTGATTTTTTTCCCTCCTAGGATGTCCCTGCTGGTCCTGCAGGAGGAGCAGAGGATGGCTTCTTTGTACCTCCCACCAAAGGCACCAGCCCCGCACAGGTAGGAGGACACATGCGTGGGTATGGTATCTTTAACATGGGGGGGGGGCCTTCAGCTAGCTGTTCAGAGAGCGGAGAAAAGGGGCGGTGCATAGAAAGAGGCTGGAGGCAGATCCTCAAAGGGACAGAGAGTGATTAAAATGTGGAATTCACTGCCAGAGGATGTAGTGATGGCCACAGGAGCAAACAGCTTTAAAGGGGGATTAGATAAGTCTCCCAGTGGCTACTAGCCATGGCAACTGGGGGGCGGGGATCCTCCACATTCAGAGGCACTAATCCTCCGAATTCCAGAGCCAAGAGGCAACATCAGGAGAAGGCCTCAGCCTCTATGCCCTGTTGTGGGCCCTCCAGAGGAATTGGTTGGCCACTGCGTGAGACAGGGTGCTGGACTAGATGGATCACTGCTCTGATCCAGCAGGGCTCTTCTGATGTTCTTTGGTGTGTTCATTTCCAAAATCTGGGGTGTGCTGCTCCAAGCACTTGGAGCAGCTTATAGTCAGTAACAAGCAACTGAGAAGGTTGCTAAACAGCAGGTTCACTACCTTATGAAGCCCAATGAGAGCTCTTTGCCAGGCTCACAAAACTGACTGTGACAAGAAGGATGCCTCAGACCTCTAAGAGCAACGAGGATACCTTAGCTGAGGCTAGAGTTTTGTCTCAGCACAGGTCAAGGTGGCATTGGAGAATTGCCACCTGTCTTCGGATTCTACAGTTCTAACAGAGACCCCTCCCTCTTCCCTTAGGTTTGGTGTAACAATTCCCAGCTGCCGGTCGATCATGTCCTGGCTGGCTCTTTCGAGACATCCATGAGGGTAAGTTGCCTGCGGAGGGTTTTTCTTTGTACTGGGGGGGGGGTTGTTTTTTTCGAGGGGGGGGGGGGAGGGGCAGATTGTTCAGCTTCAAGTCATCACAAAAGATTGCCTGTCCCCATCTCTTAAAGATGTTGCCTTTCCTTTGGAGGTGCAAAGCATCTTGTTTATGTCATCTTTGGCAGTCTGTTGTGTCCTCCAATTGTCTATGTAAGTCAGGGCCTTGTTTGTAGTGGCACCAAAGCTGTAGGATTCCCTTCACAGGGAATTTTGCCGTGTCTTTCCTCATTGGTGTGTTGGCATAGGCTTAAATCTGCTTTATTTTTTTTAATGGGGGTATACAAAATGGTACATACAGGTTTTATGAATGTTCATAGGAAGTTTCTTTACATATTCTGATTACTTTCTGCATTGGTTTCTGTGCTCTAAGATCTATACTGTATATCTGGACTTGGGCACCATCACATTTGAAAGATTGGGGTGGGTGGGTGTTCCTTTTTCCAATGAAGACAAAAGAAGGCAATTTAATAAGAGCAGTTTAAAGAGTGCCATAGGCTAACAGGTCTAGATTTGAGTCCAGTAGCACCTCAGAGATGGAACAAGATTTTCAGGGTATGATCTTTCAAGCGTCAAAGCTGTCTTCATCGGATACCTAACAAAGGCAGCTCTGACTCTCAAACGCTTATACCCTGGAAATCTTGATCTCTGAGGTACTGCTGAGCTCGAATGTAGCTTTTCTGCTGCAGACCAACAGGGCCGCCCCTTCTGAAAATAACAAGCTAATGGATGTTTCAGGAGCGGGGAGTGGGTAATGAAGGGACAGGCCTTATGGAGCGGCGCTTGGGTGGGGAGTTCCTCCAGCTGCGCCTCATCCTGCTTCTTTCCGCTCCCTCTCCCTTCTTCCTCTCCAGCTTCTCCACGACCAGGTGGGAGTGACCACCTTCGCCCCCTACAAGCAGCTCTTCCTGCAGACCTACGCACGGGGCCGCACCACGTACCAGGCCTTGCCCAGCCTGCCCTCCATGTACGGGTACCCTCACCGCAACTGGTAAGCGGCAAGCAGGGAGTCCCTGTTGCTTCCCCGGCAGCGGCCGATCCTGACCTCACCGTTACCCGCCTGTTGCTGATGCATAATCTGAAAGGAAGAAACAAGGCCTTGAACGCCTGGCTCGGCATCCTTCCTCGGGTTCTGCTTTGGCAGGAATCCAGCAGTCTGCTGCTTCGTTGGGAAGCCCCAATCTGGTGGGGCTGCTAGTGAGACAGACCACTGAACCCTCTAGCCTGGTGCCGTCTTCTCCGGCTGGCTGCTGCTCTCCCAGAGTTCTTTTCCAGTCCGGCCGTGAGCTCCTTTTAGGTGCCGGGGCCTTCTGCTGGCAAAGCATTGACCCTCAGTTCATACAAACACATGAAACTGTCAGTCTTGTCTACTCAGACTGGCGGCAGCTCTCCAGAGTCTTTTCACATGAGCTACTGCCAGATGTTTTAACTGGCGGGTTCTGCTTTGGCAGGAATCCAGCAGTCTGCTGCTTCGTTGGGAAGCCCCAATCTGGTGGGGCTGCTAGTGAGACAGACCACTGAACCCTCTAGCCTGGTGCCGTCTTCTCCGGCTGGCTGCTGCTCTCCCAGAGGGAGTTTGTAAGCCGCTCTGAGACACCTTTGGGTAGTGAAGGGCAGGGTATAAATCCAATCTCTTCTTCTTCTTCTTCTTGTCTACTCAGACTGGCGGCAGCTCTCCAGAGTCTCAGGCAGAGGTCTTTCCCATGAGCTACTACCAGATGTTTTAACTGGAGATATTGGGGATTGAACCTGGGGCCTTCCGCATGGGAAGCAGATGCACTGCTACTGAGCCACGGCCCGTCCCCGTATAGCCATTTCCATAGACAATATTGTGTGTCTGTGCAGGTTGGCCTGTGTAGGTGTGTCTGCTGGAGAACTCTGCCCCTGCAGAGGTTAGACTAGATGCCTCATGTTTAATAATCAGATAAACACAGCAGCCTGGGTGTGCCATCCTCCTCTTTGTATTCTTCTCCCTGCATGGAGTTATCTTGCATTCGGAACCAAATACTAGGATGGGGGCCGTGGCTCAGGGGTGGAGCAATTGCTTGGCATGCAGAAAGTCACAGGTTCAATACCCAGCATCTCCAGTTAAAAAGGATTAATGAGGGGATATGAGAGACCTCCACCTGCAACCTTAAAGAGGCACTGCAAGTATGAGTCAACAAGACTGACCTTGATGGGCCACGGGTCATGTTTAAGTGGTGGGGGGCATGAATAAGGAGGATGGAGGATGGGTCTCTATAGCCACCAGCTGTTTTCAGAACCGTTGTCCCTGGTTTCCAGTGGTTACATTTGAGGTTCCACTCATCTGCCTGGCCAGGCTGACCTGCTCATTTGGTGTAGTGGTTAAGAGCACGGACGCTAATCTGGGAGAACTGGGTTTGATTCCCCACTTCTCCACATGCAGCTGCTGGTGTGACCTTGGGTCAGTCGTAAGTTCTTTCAGAGCTGTTCTCTCAAGGGCAGCTCAGGAGAGCTCTCTCAGCCCCACCTACCTCACAGGGTGTCTGTTGTGGGGAGGGGAAGGGAAAGGAGACTGTGAGCCGCTTTGAGACTTCTTCAGAGAGTGAAGGGTGGGGTATAAATCCAATCTTTTCCCTCTTCCCCCACCCCTTCCAGGAAGGATGCTGGGCTAAAAAACGCCCTCCCGGCGGTCGGCCTGAAGCTGAACGACTTGATCCAGCGCCTGCAGCTGTGCTACCAGCTCACCACAGCTGGCAAGTTTGAGGAAGCGGTGGAGAAGTTCCGCTCCATTCTCTTGAGCGTGCCGCTACTCGTGGTGGACAACAAGCAAGAGATCGCAGAGGTGAGCCCCCCCATCTCCCGTGCTCCTTTCCCAAAGTAGGATTAATCCCACTTATAAAAACTTGAGTCCCAGCAGCCCAGCGTCCATACAGACAGAGAGATGTCCTCGGGCATTTGAAGCCAAAGGTCTTAAGGTGAGCTGTGAGGTTCTGCCTGCATGTGCTGTATCAAGCACCCCCAATAGCGTGCCCTGCCCCAGGGCAAGTGGGGGTTTCCCCGTTTCAGTAAGTTAAGCAAGTTACATTGGCACATGACTGCATGTTTTTAGAGCTGCCAGCCAATTTAAGGGGGTGAGAGCTTAGTCGGTTTTGAATTCTGACCCATGTAAACTTTCATATGAGAAACCCATGGGAAACAGAAAACCATACCTGGCTTTTAGATCCTGCATGCATTTGACACAGCAGGGGTGTTCTTGAATGAGGTCTTCCACCTTCTTTCTTCACAGGAGAGAATGCCTGTTCTAAGACTGAGATCTCCACTTGTACTTCTTTGTACATAGTTAAATTAAAAATAATAGAAACCTGCTGTTGGATGTGGTCTGCCCATCAATTTTTAATCAATTACCTTGTCTTACCTCACTACGACACACACTCTTGCTTAATTTTCCCTGCCCTCGTAGTAATTTCTGGAGTTTCACAGAGCTCAGAATTTCTAAGCGTGCATGATAGCAAGTTTAGAGTGCTGGACTAGGATCTAGGAGACCCAGGTTTAGATCCCCATTGGAAGCTTGCTGGGGGATCCCGGGCCAGTCACACACACACAAGCCTAACCTCAAAGGGTGGCTGCAAGGATAAAATAGATAAAGGGAGAATGCTGTAAGCCACTGTGCCTTCCCATTGGGGAGAAAACAGTGGGGTATAAATGAAGTAAATAGAAACCAATTAGCTCTGCCCTCTTGAGGACTAGAAACTTGCTTCTGTAATCCGTCTCTCACTAGTCTCACCCCTTTTTCTGTTTCCTCTTTTTCTGACATTGCAGGCCCAGCAGCTGATTGCCATCTGTCGAGAATACATTGTGGGGCTGTCGATGGAAGTGGAGAGGAAGAAACTGCCCAAGGAGACGCTGGAGCAGCAGAAGCGCATCTGCGAGGTCGGCCATTCCCCTCGGTTACATCCTTGGGCCTGCTGCAAGGGATTTGGGGGGGGGGAGCAGGTTGAGTCCAGTCCTAGACCCTTAGTATTGACTGAAAGGGGCAAGGGGCAATTGTCCAATTACACTCGGGACCTTTGTTGCACGTTCACCTGAGTGTGCACTGGTATCTTCAGGCAGGTTGAGCTGACTCACTCCTGCGTCACCTAGTTTTTAAAAACTCAAATCTCCCTGGTATACCAAACGCATGCCACGTTTACAAAGCAATTAAACAGGTCAGTTATGCCAGTTCAAAGGATTCCCACATCTGTATTCTTGCTTTGAGAGCATTGGTGAACCAGAGACCATCTAGTCTAGCATCCCTTACAGAAATCCTTGCAGGCAGTAGGCGGTCCCCACTTGGCCAATGGTTCATGTGCAGGACTGTGGACTGCCTTCTTCCCTCTCCTGTGCTAAGGAGACGGTGATGGCTGGGACTGAAGCACCAAGAGCAGGTTGATGATCGCCCACAAGGACCCCTTTGTGGGCGGGCTGACCTCTGTCCCATCTCCTTCCAAGTGTTTGAATTGGGAGAGATCCTAGTGAACATCTCCTTTCTCCCTGGTGAAACCTGCCGGGCCCAGCTGAAAGCAAACCCCTCTCTGGAATCGTGTTCTTCTTCTTCCCCCAACAGATGGCCGCCTATTTCACCCACTCCAGCCTGCAGCCTGTCCACATGATCCTGGTGCTGCGGACCGCCCTGAACCTCTTCTTCAAGCTCAAGAACTTCAAGACGGCAGCCACCTTTGCTCGCCGCCTCCTGGAGCTCGGCCCCAAGCCTGAAGTAGCCCAGCAAGTGAGCACCCAGAGGGGGAGGGGAGGGAGGGACTGCCTGAAAGGACTCCGACCGTGAGCAGGGCGGTACCCGGGGATGCGGGAATCCCACTCTTGATGGCAGACTGAGTGCTGTGCTTTAAAACATTCCAGGGTGCTCGTTCTCTGGGGACTGGGAAAGGTCTGCCTGGAAACAAGGGGAGCCACGTATGGCTCCGAGGCGTTTTGCTGCCCCAGATGCCCTCTTCCTGTACCACTCAAGGCAACTTGCCGAGTCAGTCTCTCCAATGCCACTTCGCACCTGGTATAAGCAGCATGGGTCCAGGAGGTGATGACAGGCCCCAGCCCACACGTCACCTCCACCTGCATCACTTCCCTGTACCAGCTTGGCACTCCAAGGAGCTCTGCTCAGACAGCAGACTACCCCTGACAGCACAAGACCCTGGAGTTAGCTGGAGTCTCCCAACACTGGATGGCCCAGGCAGGCCTGATCTCATCAGATCTCAGAAGCTAAGCAAGGTCAGCCATGGCTAGTATTTGGAAGGGAGACCGCCAAGGAATATCAGGGGTGTGATGCAGAGGCAGGCAATGGCGAACCACCTCTGAAATGTCTCTTGTCTTAAAAGCAAGTCTAGCTCGCCACCTAGTGGAGCATAACGATAAAGAGCTAGCTCTTCCGGCTGCCAAACAATCTTAGGATCTCCTGGCTATACTGGGCCAGTCCAGACCATTAGCTTGACTCTGAAATGTCCTTCAAGTCCTTAATAACAAGCAAGAAAGCTCTCTTGCAGGAGAGCAGGGAATGCCATTTTCCATCCTTCACATTCCCCAAGAGCCACCAGCTCTAGAAGTCAGCTGGAACTCAACGGTGAAGCACACACGGTGCCCTCCTAAGCAGAGCTGACAGTGGCAAGTGCTGTCAAGTTGCAGCTGACATAAAGCAATCCTATAGGGTTTTCAAGACGAGACAAGCAGAGGTGGTTTGGCAGGGCCTGCTTCTGCTTCCAGGTTCTGATGAGATCGGGCTAGCCTGGCCCACCCAGGTCAGGGCATGCAGGGTTGCACCTTTCTAAACCCATTGAAGCCGATGGGCTTAGGCAGATGACACTGCTGGTTACTGCTAAATGATTCAGACTCATTGTTTAAGAATGCCAAGTCCCTTGCAGGAGCAGGTCTCTCTAATCCAGCACTCTTTGCAGAGAATCTCAGCAGCCAGCAGGAGATCCACAGGAGGTAGTTTTTCACCCTCACAGGCAGATGTCTTTTACCAAAGGCTTTTGGCTGCAGTGGGTAAAATGAAGACTCACAGGCTTATGGTACCTCTGACACTGTCAGTTGTGGAGAGGTGGGCAAGGAAAGGTTCTGTCTTCATGCTCTCCTCATCTTCCTGGAGCATCTCTCTCATTCACTCTTTCAGGTTCCCGGGCAGGATGAGGACTCTGAATAGCCCAGTGTGTCATGTCCAGTGTTCCCTCTAAGCTGAGGTAGTGTGAGCTAGCTCACAGTTGTTTAGCCTCTGGCTCACACATTTTTGTCTTGGCTCAGGAAGGAATGGCTCCAGAGCAAACTGATTTATGCAGTAGCCAAATCGCTTGCTCACAACTTTAATGCCAGTAGCTCACAAAGTAGGATTTTTGCTCACAAGACTGCGTGGCTTAGAGGGAACATTGGTCATGTCTGGTTCTCAGTTCTCCACTGTACTCCCCCAAAGTAGAAATCTTCATGAAAATGGAGGCTCCAGGTAGATAGATGGAATGGTGGCCAAAAAGCAGGGGGATTGCCGAGTGGCGTATGTGTTATCTGCACAGTCAGGGGGAAGTAGAGGAGACGGCCTTGTTCCCCCTATTAATGCTGAAGACCTCAAGAAACAGGCCACCTTCCAACTTCTCGTTCACATCTCACCTGTCGCACCCTCCCCTGCAGTAGTTCAGTTTCCTTTTTCTACCCTCTTCCCAGACCCGCAAAATCCTAACCGCGTGCGAGAAGAACCCCACCGACGCCTACCAGCTCAACTACGACATGCACAACCCCTTTGACATCTGTGCCGCCTCCTACCGGCCCATCTACCGGGGCAAGCCGGTGGAGAAGTGCCCGCTCAGCGGTGCCTGTTACTTTCCCGAGTTCCGTGGTCAGATCTGCAGAGTCACAACTGTAAGTACCAGCTGTATCACTCCTCCCTGGACCAGTCCTTGCCCTTGATAGTTGCCCACCTGGCATTCTTCTTCATATCATTTGTGAGCCTAGGCCAAAGAGGATGCCTGCGTGCAGTGACTTGACAAGGTGTTTCAAGAGAGACCGAGGCTGGCCGTGTCTGCAGAAGCAGCCAATAGGAGTGGAGACGGAGGACACGGCTTCTGAATGCTCTTTTTTTGCAGTGAGGTTAATTCCCTGCGGGGACTCATTCTAGCTGCAGGAGGGGAGCTGATACCCCACTTTATTCCCCAGTGGGGACCCAAAGCAATTGATAACATCATTCTTCCCTCCTTGATTTGTGCCATTTTAGAATCAGTACAGTCTGCGTGTCTGTCTCTCTCTATCACTGCTCATACGGGTATCACCTTAAGCAGAAATTGGAAGACCTTACTCAGTATTATTTCTTTTGTATTTGATTATTGGTAATTCCATATCTGTAAGTAAAGGGGTGACTAAATTAGCCCTCAACTCATTGAATATAGGGCACTCCATAATCATATGTTCAATGATTTCAGTTTTATCATATGAGCATCTGCATGTTCTATTAAAGTATGATACTCTATTGTATCTGCTCTCCAAAACTGCCAAGGGAAGAATGTTCAGTCTTTCCAAAGTAAAAGCTCTTCTAAGTTTTGGGACTGTTAATTGACAAAAATATTTCAGCAGTTGCATCGGGAAGGCAATTCCCAAATGGAGTGTCGAACATACCCTGCGCGCCCTAATAGACGTACTTGTAAAATCCGATTTCCTTACAGATTTTTAAATTCGTCTTCTAATGTCTTTAGTCCCTTCTGAGGGAGGATCTACTCGTGGGGGAGGGCGGGGTAAAAATGTCTAAATAAAAATAAATAAATAAATAAAAAATACTTAGGCTTATCCAGGCAGGTGCACATTACAGCCAATGGGATCAACTCTTAGAAAAGAAAATGGAATGCCTAGGAATAACAAATGTGATTAAAAATATAGAATCAGTACAGTCTGATGCTGTTATCTTAGGAATATACTGCCTCATTCCACTCTCTGTATCAGGTTTTAGTATTTTATTATGGGATGGAAGATTGGGGGGGGGGGGGCAGAGTCTTGCCTTTGCAGAGAAACACTTGATTTTATTTATAGTCCACCTTTTTCACTGGGGTTGAAGGCGGATCACACAGAATGATCACCAGAAAGGGACATTCATTAAACAGTGAAATAGGGTTAGGGCTGTAGAACCAGCCAGAAATCTAAAAAAACCACCCCAGAACTGAAGTAAAGCAGAAGTGTTAACATGACACATTAAATGATGCAAGATGAGATAGCAGGATCCAGTTTACAGCAAACTGTATACCAGTGATGGCGAACCTTTTAGAGACCGAGTGCCCAAACTGCGACCCAAAACCCACTTATTTATCGCAAAGTGCCAACACAGCAATTTAACCTGGATACTGAGGTTTTACTTTAGAAAAAACAACTCATACATGAACTTAAGATGATCCAAACAAAGTAAGGAAAGCAATCCCAAATGCTTTCATTTACTTAAAATTATTTGGCAGAGAATTCGACACTTTAATGATGGTCTGGGCCTGGCTGGGGCGATGGCACGCGTGCCCACAGAGAGGGCTTTGAGTGCCACCTCTGGCACCCGTGCCATAGGTTCGCCACCACTGCTGTATACAGTCACATGAACTGCAGTCCCTAACGGTTTCTCTAAGTAGCTTTGTCGGAGCATTTTGTACAGCGCTACCCCGTTGCCCTTGAATCATTCACTTTTGCATCATTTGTGGAAAGCCGGGAGGGGGAGAGGCTTCCTGACCTCCTCAGGCAGGCCTCTCCCCACCAGGTGGCCCTTAAGCAGTTCTCCAGGCGTTCTAGCCTTCACAGAAAGTGCAGTGACGCAGAAGCCGTTGTTGCTCTTAAAACACAGAGGCACCTCGGTTCTCCAAAGCGAGCCACTGTCAGGATTTACCGGCCGTCTCCTCCTCTCTGGCATAAGCTGTTCTCGTACTGCCGAGTTGGGCAGGAATTGAGAAAGACCTGAGGGACAATGTTCCCTCTAAGCTGCGGAGTCTTGTGAGCAAAAATTCTACTTTGTGAGCTGCTGGCATTAAAGTTGTGAGCGAGGCATTTGGATACTGCATAAATCAGTTTGCTCTGGAGCCATCCCTTCCTGAGCTAAGACAAAAATGTGTGAGCTGGAGGCTAAAAAACTGTGAGCTAGCTCACACTAACTCAGCTTAGAGGGAACACTGGTGAGGGACCTGACCAGTTCTCCCCTTTTGTCTTCGTATTGATTTCGGTGGAGTGGGGGAAGAGGGGGTCCCACAGATCACTTTTGGACTTGGGCCTCTGCTAAAGTTTATGCTTGCCAAAAAGCCTTTGACAGCACACTGAACACTGGAGGCAGACTTAACGCCTGCAGAGCCAGCGCAACGGACTGTGGTGAAGCGATCCCTGCTTTTGTGGCTTTGGGGGAGGCACTCAAAGCATCAAGGGATCTCACTGCATTCTGGGCACTTCCAAGCCCAGCACTAAGTATTGGGGAGAATTCTGCCCTCGTTCAGTCTCCAGAGAAGGCAGGCAGGCAGGCAGGCAGGCAGGCTTTCTCCCCAGGTCATAAGACACGTTCACTGGCACCAAGTTCGTAAGAGCAATGGTAGAGGACCCTTCCCCCGGGTTTTAAGCCCTAAGGATGACTGTAACAAAAGTCCCTTTTGGTCCCCCAGGTAACGGAGATTGGCAAAGACGTCATCGGCTTGAGGATCAGCCCTCTGCAGTTCCGCTGAAGCGATGTTTCCACCCAAGGAGATACTTCCACTCCTCTTCGACTTCTTTCCAGTAGCTGATGGGATCTTTTTTTTTTTTTTAAGTATTTCCATCCCCTTGAACATGCTTCCTCCCAAAGCCCTGATGATCACACACCCCTACGCTATCCCTGTTCGACGTAGCAGTTCAGTGGCATGACGAAGTCTCTGTGCCAGACACGCACAGATGAGTGGCAAGGCCAGTGGTGTAATCGGCAGTCTGTTCTGGGTCCCCCGCTTCCCTCTCCCCACCCCCTTCTGCCCATTACGTCTGTAAGAATCCGAGTCTGAAGACAAAGCTGCATCCCGAAACCCCACCCACCACCTTCCTGCCTGTTGCTGGGGGGGGGCAGAACGACTTGACTTCGGAGGGCTTTTAAAAACAGGAACCCACAGAAGATTGTCCTTAACGAAAAGAGGCCTTTGTGAAATTCTGTTCAGGAGCAAAAAAAACACTGAAGTGTCTCCAAAGCCCTACTCCTTTTTACACCCACTCCCCTTTCTGTATCCCTCTATCACAATAAAGTGACATTACACCAAATGGGGGGGAAAGGAGTCTCTTGTATTAGTGGTGTTCAGCTGACAAGAAATAAGGCGTGTGAAACACTGGCATTGTCCCCCATGGGAAGGACCAATTTCCTTCCTTGATTCAGAGAAACTGGCCATGGAGTGGAGGAAAGCTTCCCGAGAAGCCCCAGGCCTCAGTACTGGAAATCTGAATCCCTGATGGTATACTTTCTGCCAGGGATACCTTGGTGGCAACACTGGGAAATGGGATGCCAGACTAAACGGACATCGGTTTGATCCAGCAGGGCTGCTCTTAGGTTCTTACGTGTTGGTTATTGGCGTTCAGGGCTGTTTGCGAGGAACCCACAATAGTAGGATTAACGGGGGATAACTTCTAGGAGCAGACATGGTTTCTGCAAGCTGCTGTCCAGGGTACAACACTAGAGAACTGGCTCAGGCAGACACCATCCGTCAAGTCATGCTGGGTTGCACTGCTTTATCATGGAGTGGAAATTGGTCACTTTCTATGGAGACTTAAGAGTGGAGATGGGGGTGGTATTGGAAGAGGAAGGCTATGACAGAAAGGAGGCGGAGTTGGAACATGCCGGGTGCTGCTCCATCAGTGTATCCCCCCTCCACAGTTCTTTCCGGCCAGCTTACAGTCCCAGAACCTCTTGATTTAAGACGTGTTGCCCGGAGGCAATCAGCAGATGTTCCCTTTCGACGCACCAAGGAAAAAGACAACCCCGATCCTTCCGGTCGTGCAGCAAAACAGAAGGTGGGGAGAGGATTCTCCTGCTGGCCCCCACACTGGGAGTGCTGATGGCTCCTCCTTCCGGGGCTGCCCGGTTCTCCCTCATCGAGGCACGGGTGGTGGCTACCCAATGATGGGTGTTCTCTCAGCATTCCATGGCTGGTCGCTTCTCGGTGACAAGCGGGATGGGGTTTTACTCACGCACTCGACGAACAAGCGCAGCAGCAACATGCACCAAAAGAAGAAGTTCACCCAAGCGGCTGCCTGAAGCAAGAAAAGAGATATCAGATGGTGAAGGCAGAGGGTAGACGGTCAAACCCCCCCCCAGATCCCACGTACATTCATCTTACAGCTAAACTGCTAGTAGAGAGAGCCAGTTTGGTGTAGTGGTTAAGTGCGCGGACTCTAATCTGGGAGAACCGGGTTTGATTCCCCACTCCTCCACTTGCACCTGCTGATGTGACCTTGGGTCAGTCACAAGCTCTGGCACAGCTGTCCTTGAAAAAGAGCAGTTTGTGTCAGAGCTCTCTCAGCCCCACCCACCTCACAGGGTGTCTGTTGGGGGAGGGAAAGGGAAAGGAGTTTGTAGGCCGCTCTGAGACTCCAAGTGAAGGGCGGGGTATAAATCCAATCTCTTCTTCTAGTACAGAGAGTTCTCCCAACACATTTTACTTCAGTGTACTCTCCGTGTCCCCACAGGGATTCTTCTAGCTGCTGAACTAATTTTTAATCACTTCTAATCCTGATACATGCCTGCGTAGCATCCGAGATCAGTGCAGTGTCATCGGTTGGTGGTCCCTTCATAAGACGTTTGCTGGTTCTCCGTCACAGCCACGGTTCTCCGTAGCTGCCCTTGCTTTGCAGAATGGCTTGCCTGAGAAAAGCTGCCTTTCTCTGGCGAAGAGTTAGGAAGCCATATAAGGCAGTATTACTCCTGCAGGCCTTTGGGAATGGAGGTTGGATCTAGTCCCCTTTTCCACTAGTGGGAAAAGAAAGGGGAGTAGCCCTTGAACTCCTCCCCCAGTAGACCATGATGGTGACCACAGGGCCTGCATGGACAAAAGCCATGTGTGAGGGGACTGTAGTGAGAATTGGGCACGACTGTGAGTGGAAAAGCTGGCCGGATCCAATGGCAGCCCACCCACTGTCTAGAAGAAGAGGAGGTTGGATTTATACCTTCACTACCCCAAAGGTGTCTCAGAGCGGCTTACAAACTCCTTCCCCTCCCCACAACAGACACCTTGTGACAATGTTCCCTGTAAGCTATGGAGCTCTGTGAGCAAAAATTCTACTCTGTGAGCTACTAGCATTAACGTGAGCAGGAGATTTGGCTGCTGCATAAATTAGTTTGCTTTGGAGCCATCCTTCCTGAGCTAAGACAAAAATGTGTGAGCCAGAGGCTAAAAACCTGTGAGCTAGCTCACACCAACTCAGCTTAGAGGGAACACTGCTTGTGAGGTAGGCGGGGCTGAGAGAGCTCTTGACAGAAACTGCTCTTTTTTCAAGGACAGCTCTTATCAGACCTACGGCTTGCCCAAGGTCATCCAGCCAGGTGCAAGTGGAGAAGTGGGGAATCAAACCCGGTTCTCCCAGATTAGAGTCTGCGCACTTAACCACTACACCAGACTGGCTCTGAGGCACCTAAGCTCTGCAGGTGCCAGGCAAAATACTGGCAGGCACCTTGGTTCCCACAAGCACCATGTTGGAGAACCCTGGTGTACACAATTACACTCGAGCTACACTAAGAACCCACACCTGCTGCAAACTCTGTATTAGGGCGTATTACAGCTGCTACTGTAATGCCCCTATATAGATACATGGTGTGGCCTCATTTAGAATACTGCATACAGTTCTGGTCACTGTCTCCAAAAGGACATTGCAGAGCTGGAAAAGTATACAAGAGGGCAACCAAGATGATGAGGGTTTGGAGCACCTTACCTAGGAGGAAAAGCTGAAGAGCCTGAGACTTTTCAGTGCAGAAAGGAGACCACTAAGGGGGGGGGGGGCATGATAAATATTTATTTTTATTTATTTATCTTTGAATTTATATCCCACCCTACCCCGAAGGCTCAGAGCGGCTAACAGGAGGCACACAGTGCCAAGACTGATAGAGAGTTGACAAAAAAAAAAAAATCTCCCTCTCCCCAAATACTAGAACTTGAGGGCAACCAATGGAACTGATGAGCAGTCGATTCAGGATGTACACAAGGAAATACTTCTTTACACAGAGAGTGATTAAAATGTGGAATCTGCTGCCAGAGGATGGTCACAGGAATAAGCAGCTTTATAAAAGGGATGAGATAGATTCATGGAGGATATGTCTAGTTATCAGTAGCTATTAGCCATGGTCACTGAGGGGAACCTCCACATTCAGAGGCACTAAACCTCTGAATGCCAGAGCCAGGAGGCAACATCAGGGGAAGGCCTCGGCCTCTATGCCCTGCTGTTGGCCCTCCAGAGGAACTGGCTGACCACTGGGTGAGACAGGATGCTGGACTAGATGGACCACTGGTCTGACTCAGCAGGTCTCTTCTTATGCTGCCAGTCTAGAGGTGCAGTTCACTAGTTTTTATATTGTACATGTGTATTTAAAAGTGTGTGGGGGGGAGATCTCCAGGTAGATTATCCTTCCTTTTGAGCAGGAAGGAAGAGGCAGGTTGGCCTTTCCGGTTCCTTCCATGGCCTAGCAAGATTTCAGCCCAATTCAGAGACAAGCCCAGCCGTCAACGTGAATGCAATCAAGTACAGCAAACCTGAAGCACTGCTCACCTCTGCCGTGTAGAGGTTGTCATAGAACCTTCCAGCTTGGTAAGGGGGGACCCAAGGTCGATGCTGGGCTTCTTGGCAGCTAGGCACGAGGCAAGAAGGACAAAGTCACTGGGGATCGACCCACCGATTCCCACCAAGTTGCTTACAAAGTTTCTGATGGAGAGAGTCCTAGGAGTGCCACAGATAGACCACCCCATACAGGACCAAACCTCTGAGAAATCTACAGGCACTGTCTTCAGCTGCTTCATGGGGGGACAGGGCTTTGACCCAGGAGCATCTTGCTTAGCAGATTCTGGGCATCACTGCCTCTGGGTTGCACAGACAGCCACTTAACCGGGAAAAAAACCCTTGCAAAGTTTTTGGTCACCGCAAAACACCTACCTTGAGGCAGCTGCAGATTTCAGAACGGAGGCACAGAAGCTGTCCATCCCAACCCGAAGGATGCAGGCTGAGATAAGCAAGAAGAAGAGGACCACGGCCGCCAGCACCATCGATCCCCTGAGCCAGATATGCTCCCTGAGGCGGGACAAAGAAGAGAGGCAGTCAAGAGTGAGGAAAATGGGCCACTCTCTTAACTTCCCTCACTCCACCCTCCGGACTCCACACTCACGGTTCTCCTTCCCCAAAGCAAATGCTATAGATGCCGTAGAGAAGAGCCAGGAAGCAGAAAATGGCGGCGAGGGAAGAAATGACTGCGACGAAGTAGCAGAGGGAGACGGGGCTGGAGCTGCTGAGATTCAACGTCCCGTTGTAGACCACGGACCCATACAAAATACACTGGCCACCAAATTCTCCCTGAGGGAAAATGAAATATTAGGGCCATATGAAGGTACCATTTTACATGTATTTGGTTTTTCACTGTGAGAGAAATTTCACCTCGTTTGTTTTCTTTGTTAGCCAGTTTAAAGCAGCGGTTAGTGTCTGACAGGGATTAGGGATACCTGGGTTCCAGTCCCTATTCTACTTGCTGGATGACTTCTCAGCCTAGCCTACCTTGCAAGGATGTTGTGAGGATAAAATGGGGGAGGAGAACCATCTATGGCAGGGGTGGCCAAACTGTGGCTTCGGAGCCACAAGCGACTCGTTCACACATATTGTGCAGTTCCTGGCAGGGCGGCTGGGGACGTGAAGGGGAGGCATGCCTTCCCGATCGGTCTTCCCTTCCCTTCCCTCTAGCTTGAAGAAACAATGACTGAGGGGAGACATGATTGAGGTTTATAAGATTATGCATGGGATAGAGAAGGTAGAGAAAGAGGTACTTTTCTCCCTTTCTCACAATATAAGAACTCGTGGGCACTCCATGAAATTGCTGAGCGGTCGGGTTAGAACGGATAAAAGGTAGTACTTCTTCCCCCAAAGAATGATTAACACTTGGAATTCACTGCCACAGGAGGTGGTGGCGGCTACAAGCATGGACGGCTTCAAGAGGGAATTAGATAAGCACAAGGGGCGGGGCCCGCGATACTCGCGGGGGGGGGCAGAGGAAGCAGCAGGAGGAGGTAAGTACCCCCCCCATCCCGCTGGTTCCCCGTCTCCTCCACCCCCCCTTGCCTTTCCTCCCCCTTGCCTTCCCCCCCCCCGGCTTCTC